TAACTCAGCTGGAATACTGTCACCTCCACTAGCTTTGTTGTTGCTCAGATTTCCTAAGGCCCGTAAGAAATGTAGGTTCAGTCTAAGTATAGATTATCATAGATCATCATAGTTTTCTTTGCAACAATCATAATTTTCTGCTGCAATCTTACAACAGAAGTGTTTTTTCTCATAATCTCAGATGCAATGGAAGTTATTTCCCGTTCCATTCTTGCTTGGAGGGGAACCAGATTAAATAGGGTGCAAAGAGAGCTTTGCCCAGACATTTGAAGTCAGAATCCTGCCCTCCCCAGGCTGCCTCCGGTTCCAGGTTAGAAGTCAAGGCCGTGAATGGGATTCCAGACTGGAGGGGTCATGCTTGCAAGGGCATTGCCATACCCCACACTTCTGCAAAATCTCAGTTTAGATGATATTGCAAGAAGGACACAGGGAGGGGAGATAGAACTAGGCCGGCAAAGCCTCATTCCTTCGAATCTAGAAACTAGATGGGGGCAGCCAGTTTCTTCCCCCTCTAGTAATTTGGAAAAGGAGTGAGTGCTTTTGGCAAGCAAGGGGAGCAGGGCAGTGGCATGTCAAGCTCTCTAGCTCTGTGGCGGCGCAATTTGTCAATCCGGGCGGGTTTGGCATTCTAGCAAGTGGCGGAGCAAGGCCACTTGTGAAAGAGGCTGGGGCTTGGCGCTTCTCTGCCTGGCTGGACAAGGGCTCCGGCATCCAAGGTTGTGCAGGAGGCGAGCGTGGGTAGTTTGGGACTCAGATGTGGCACCAAAGTAGCATGTTGCAGCATCTCTGCGGTTATTCGCAAATCATCGCTGTGATGTTGCAAGATATGTAACTTACCTGGTCGTAAGTACTTTTGGTGGGGAATCTTAACTTTGAACATTCGTTAAGTGAACATTCATAACTTGAGGACTACCTGTATTAATATATTATTATAACAGGCAATTATCACAATATCTGATATATAGAGGTATTTTGCTTGTGGACATGGACATTCCATTGAATCATTATGGGTAATGACTAATTGCTTCTAGTTTCTCCTACTTCTAAAATATATAAATAAACAAACCTAAATTAGGTTACAGAGTGAAAAATCTCAGTTCTATTTTTAGCATTTAACCTTATTCGACTTTCATTTCACTTTGTTAAACAATATCAAGAATGAAAACAACATTTTCCTTATATTTTTTAAAACAGCATCAAATTAAACAGAAACAGCATGTGTGTATATTATGATAACAGTTCAGAGGCTGGCAAAACCATTGTGTGCAGTAGTTTTGCCAGCTGCTCTGTGTTTGATATGCAAAATGGACTTTGCAATGTTTCCATTTTCTTGTTTCTGCCATCTGTAGAGAATTGAAGAAAAGAGTAACTTGATCTTCCCAATCAGGAAAAAAACTCACAAGAAGGACATCAAAATGTTCCTCTGTAGAATGCAATGCTTCCTTGTTTGAGATTCAGGCTACTTTGATCCTTCTATTTTTGTTTTCAAGTTTCTGCCTGACAGCATTCTTTGTCTATGAAGTATACCTAGTCCTCCTCACTTGAGTGTCTCTCTTTTACTGCCCATCTGAAATCATATTTATATTTCTATAAACCTTGAGTTCCTAATATCTTTTGTGTTTGTGTATGCTCAAAGAATGACTTTTCAGCTCTATGAGTAATGACACTAGCAACAAGAATAGCAGAAGCAAACATAGACTAGAAGAATTAGAATAGATCTTTAAATGGTTTTGTGTTTTCATAAATCATTTTTTTGTGACTATAGGTAGTTCCAGATAGTGTCACACATGTAGTAGACGACCTATGCTGATCCATTAATAAAAATCTGGATTCTAAAATCTAGGTTAATCTTTGAGTTGGCATAGGTGTATTTATGAATGAAAATACAAGTGAGAGGCTGAGGCTGAATTTTTTGTTTGGAAAGAATTGTTGTCCCTTATCTCCTGAAAAAGCTACTGTGATTCAGAATATCCTCGGAGTAGGAAAGAGGGAGTAGTAGTGAATAATTTTGCCCATTTCCTGACAGAATAGGACATTCATAATATGACTGACTATATGCATTCTGGCAGCCATTTTAGAGACTATCTGTGTCATGTTTATAATCTTCCAAATGTGCCCAATAGCTTAGAGGATGAAGTAACATTCTTTTATCTTGAATGTGATTAAAGGAATCATTTGCCTTTGGCAGGGTTTTTTTTCATTGGACTTATTTCTGATAGAATTAGGAAGAAGGAGAAAAATCATTTGAGGGAAAACTGGCAGTAATAAAATGGCATAGTGAGAAAGAATGAGCACATACCTCTTACTTACACAATAAACTTACTTAACTGTACTCTTGTAATATTCATTCATTGTTGGATTTATATCTAGAAGGTCAAAAAGACAGATGGATAAGACAAGCACTCACTCCTCCATTTTTTTTCCTGACATCCTCATGAGTTAGATTGGGCTAAGAAATAATAATTGCCTTAAACTCACTTAGCCAAAGAGTCAAGTTAGATCAGAATAAGTAGATAGCTTGTACACCATTCCCTTCTCTTTTTGTTAATAGCCTTATCTTCCACAAATTCCTCTATTCATTTTTCAAAATGGTCCATGTTTGTGGCTATCATAGTATTCTGTGATATGAATGCTATAAATTAATTATATAGTCCCCCTGTCTTTGTTGTGACTTGATCCCATAACAATACAGCCCTTTCTTTATTTGCACCTAATTACAACTAAGACAAGTCCTGATAGTATCTTGTTTGGATGTTTCTCCCTGAGGTTGCTTTCACCTTGTTTTCAACCCTTATTTGACCAAAATTAAAGTTATCCTCAGCTGTTCTACTATTAATGTTTTCTATCTTAAAGAGTGAATAACTGTAGCAATTTTGCATATGTACAATTCATTGTTCCCACTATTTTGTTTGGTGTGGGATCAGCCTAGCATTTATTAGCCACTTCAGGTTTGTGCTGGTATGAACCTGTTTGTCCAGTTCTCAGGCACCGTCCTTCAGGTCTAGTCTACTTTGTGAAGCAGGAAAGTTCATTTAACAAACTAATCTCTCAATCGGCACACATAGCATCTGCCTAAATAGGAAGCTGTGCAGTAAGGTAGAAAAAAAGTNCATACCCACACAAGAGGTAACTTGTACATCCTCAACTTTGCCTGTCATTGGCTGTTCAGTCTGTCATTTACTTGGACTGTAGGAAATCATGTCCAGACCTTGGGCTGTCTCAGAGATCTGACAGGGAGAGTCTCTTCTCTCCATCTGCCACATTCTGAGCCCAGACAGCTGAAGGCTCAGCATAGGTGTCATGTGAAGATAAATGATTTCCTACAGTTAAAATCCCAGATTTTGCCATCTGTCAAGATCATTGACAGTCACAGTAGTGCTGTGATTGGTAGATAGTTTTCCTACCAGATGGTGATGTTAGAAGCTGGGAGGAGGGAGCAGGACATTCTTCTCTGCACAGGAAATGAGGACACTATTCTCCAGTTACTTGCCAGAACAAAATCTATTAGAATTGGCAGTAGGAACAATGCTGGTTAAGATCTCTGCTGATTCCTCATAGCAGAAAAGTATTTAACTGAGCTATGGGGGGAGACCCTACACCTTTTTTTCAACTATACTTTTACTTTGCTGATGCAACTACCATATTTTCCCAAAAATAAGACCTGGTCTTATATTTTTTTTGCCTCCAAAAGAGGCACTGGGTCTTATTTTTTTGGGGTGTCTTATCTTAGGACCACCAGAGCCAGACCTCCCACATACCGACACCTGTCGTGCCACTGCTTGACTTCTTCAGCAGCCGCTTGCCACCACTTGCGGCTGGACGCCATGTGGCGCATAGGACCATTGCCACTCTAAGGGGTAAGGGGGGGTGAAGCTTACCTTACCGGTAGGACCGCCATAGCCAAGCCTCCCACGCCCCTACACATGGTGCTTTGGACCATTTCCGCCACTCGGCCTATGGTGTCCTGCCATGAGGCGTCCTGCCACAAGCGATGGCAATGGCTCGAAGAGCCGCTCGGCTTCTTGTTGTAAGTGCCGGAAATAGCCCGAAGCACCATGCAGCATCCTGCCGGAGCGATGGCAGTGGCCCGAAGAGCCGCTTGGCTGAGCGGTGGAAACGGCCTGAAGCACCAAGTGTCGGGGCATGGGAGGCCTGGCTGTGGCAGTCATACCAGTAAAGTAAGCTTCACCCTCCCACCTTGCCTCCAAACTAGGGCTTACTTTTGGGGGAGGCTTATATTAGGCCCACCCCCGAAAATCAAGCTGGGGCTTACTTTATAGGGGGGCTTACTTTCAGGGAAACACAGTAAATTTACAAATTGTTTACAAGATCAGTTCAGAGAGTGGTTTTGCCCTGCAAAGCTTTTACTAGGAATGACTAGCCAGTGTAACGTAGTGTTCAAGTTCAAACAATCAAATAAACTTTCAGGCATGTCAGTTGCACTGTTGACTCCAGAACCAAGGAATAGGACTAGGGAGTAGAGCTTTAGTTCCATCCTCAAGGATGAAAGCTTATTGTGGGTGACTTGGGGTCTTTTACTCATTTATCTTCTCACATTCACTGAAGATTATGGAGAAACACTAGAGAAGGAATGTAACTTTGATTACCCTGTACTCATGGATGAACAGTGGCAGATCAATGTAGTCATGAGGATGATACAGACACAAGAGGCTGTATAAATTACATTTAAAATGGAATCTTTATTCCACTCAAAGATTTTTGTGGGCTAGATATTTTAGGGCACTTATTTGAGTGTAAACTTCATTGAATACTGAAGCTCTTATATCTCCAAAACCATGTCTAGATAGGTAAATACTACTGGGATTGTTTGGAAGCTATATAACAATGCAATCCTATCCATGCCTCTTATCTACAACTAAGGTAGATAGGTTTTGCATTCTAAGACTAACTTCTGGATATTTTGTCTAAAAGCTGTTGAACTGAGGCAAAGAAAGAATCCGAGCTGTACTGAAGTTGAAGAAAAAACTCTCAAAGAAAACAACGACAAAGACAAACAACCCAAACGATCCCTAAAATGTGAGTTACATTATTTTTCTGTCAGTGTTTCAATTCCATATATATATTTGTTTTTGAGGAATTAAATTTAGAAATATATTTCTATGTAGAATGGATAAGAAATCTTTATTCTGGAAAAATATTTGAGCTAAAATATACCATATATTTATTCCACTTTGTACACAAGCCTGTGGAAAGTGATCAGTCTTCAAAACCAAAAGCAGCTATGAGGTTATGAATCTATATTTTACAGTCAACACAGAATGATTTCTAACCTTTTGGGCAAATAAATTTTCTAAACAAATCCACCAAGAAGCACCACAAAAGAGGAAAGATCACATGCCTTGCCTCTGGCAGCCTTACAGGAATGGAGTTCCTGCTCTCTTGTGTTAATATCATAATAGCTGAACTGCTCTATGTATAGGAATTCAAAAGTGTTTTTCTCCTTTTTTTTAAAAATAGCAATCTCTACTGTTGAAATACAGATGGTCCTCACTTAATGATGTAAATTTGGACTGGCATTCTCATTGTTAAGTGATGTAGTCGTAAAGCGTGACATCTCATGACTGGGCTGCTTAGGGACACAGTTCTGGAAGTCCCCAGTTTCCATTGTTAAGCAAATTATTAAGCAAGTGTCATTAAGTACATACTTCATGTGACTGCAACTTTCAACTTCCTGCTGGCTTCCCCATTGATTTTGCTTGTGGGAAGCTGGCAGGGAAAGTTGGAAATCACAATCATGTGACCGTAAGATACTACAATGTTCAGAAATCCAGGTCAGTTGCTGAATGTAAGAATCATGATCATGTGAACACAGGGGCACTTTGGTGGCTGGAACTTCAAGGACCAAGTTTTAAGTGCCATCACAAATTTGAATGGCCATAGAATGTAATATCTGTAGTCAGTTTATGGTCTGGAACAGATAACAATACTTAGTCTTCTTCTCAAAATCAAGTCCCTTTGGTACTCTTGTTTTCTTCTGATGCTAGAACTTCATTATACTCATTGGGATGTAATCTGTAAATTTGCCCCCAGTGTTTGTTTGGTACAGGCTGTTGAGAACATCTGAATCTATTTTATTTACCTGACACAGCTTAAATGTGAATTAAAAAATCTTTAAAAAAAACAAACACAAGAGGTCTAAATTGATTGATATGCTATGCACAAATGCCCAACAATTTAGGTTAAATATAGATCATTTAAACAAAGACAGCTGTGGGTATATAACAAGTTACTGCTATGTAAAATGCAAGCAAGCTGCATGTTTGATATTTTAGTAAGATATAAAAGAAGATTAAACTTTTTCAGATGTCTACTTTTAAGGAATGATTTCCATATGCCCTAGGTTTGTTTATTTCACCATTCAGGCAAACAAACTATCCTGTTTGATTTTGAGACAACTCAACAGATACCAAAATAGGCTAACAAAACCTGATTTACCCAATTGTATATTATTTGATGTCTGTAACATCAAATTATAATCTGTGAGTGTATGGAGCAAACTCTAAATATTTTGCTTAAGTACTTATAAGATTTATGTAATTCCCAAAGGATTCTAATGGTATATAAAATACAATATGCAATAGCAGCATTATAATACAAAGCCGTATTAGTGCTGATGTCTTTATAGAATCTTTTTCTGAGGACCTTCTGAAAAAGTGATGTTTTTACTATCTTTCAGATGACTATAGGAGTGGGAGCCATACTCATCTCAAGGGTCAAGGTGTTCCATGGGAGGGACCTTATACATAGAATGCCTGCAATTGAGATCCCTAATATTGCATCTCATGATGGGAGGGATCTTTAGTAGACACTCTCTGATCATCCAGCTCTCTAGGTTGGGTGGACAGAATTTATCTTGGAAAGGCAGATTCCAGGACCTGAACCATCTAAGGCTTTATAGGTAACAACCAACACCTTGAATTGCACTTGGAAACATTAGGAGCCATGCAGGTCCTGCAGTAGTGGTATAACCTGGCAATACGTAGCTATCCAGTAAGAGTATGGCCTGCTGCATTTTGGATCAGTTGAAGTTTTCAGATGGTCTTCAAAGGGAATCCCACATGGAGCAAATTATAATAATATAATATAATAATTCAATTGCTAGATGAGAAGAGCACAAGTGACTGTTCTCAGTACATCCTGTTTCTAGCAAAATTACAACTGGCATTCTGACCAATATTAGGCCAAAGGTCTCCTGGCCACAACTTTCATCTGTTCTACTTGTATCCCAACTGTTCCCAGGCAAGCAGAGACTCAAAATTATTATTATCCTGGAATAATTAGGCACTCCATCTTGCCTGGATTGTGTCTGAGATCCTTGCCAGTCTATGAGTCAGATGAAATCAAGAAATAGATTTCACAGAAGACTAAAAACTACTTTTATTTAGATTGGCTATGGTAACATACTCTTGCAAACAATGTTTCCTTTCTGATGCTTTGATAATGGATCTTCCCTTTCTCCATCAAATCATCCTCTTTGTTCTCTACATCAGGTCAGGACTTCTACCACATCCTCCATTCCTGTGTCTACAGAGCTTGGTGTTGCATATTCTGGTGTTTTGTACTTATGAACTGGTTGGACATTAGCCCTCTGCTGCCACCTGCTTATTGCGTTGCAGAGGCTCTTGACAAACATTGGGCATTTGACTTGATATGAAAACATAGATTTTATTTGATGTTTATCATATTTCTTTTCAGATGTCTTAATTCCACATTTTACAAAGCTTTTCTTTGGCTGCATTACAGCAATCATAAGTGGAATGATGTATGCCATATACCTTTCAACATACCATGAACGCAAATTCTGGTTTTCTGGTAGGCCGGTAAGGAATCTCAAACAATAAAGTCTGTTATTTTATACAACCACAAGGTTGGCTTATGTATAAACAGATGTGGCAGTTCCTATAATGTCTAGGATATCTGACACAGAATACTTAACCTAGCCATTGGTTTGTGGACAATGAGGGACCTAATCCAAAGCATATGATAGTCATGATTGCCTATCCCCAGTCTAGAGTCAAGATAGAATGATAAGCTGCATAAAGTAGGTTTCTTAGTTTTTCTTATCTAAGCCTTAATTGTTTTTCTTTGAAAAGGTTAACATTTCCTTTCACCTCAGTTGACAATGAATTTATAGCTTCTATCCTGTGTTCTTGGCATTCTCTTATTGAAGCATGCATGGGTGCACCACACGTACAAAAAACAGATTCCCATTTTCAGCCTGTAAAGTATACTTCGGAGCCTGTTGAGTTTCCTGTGAACCATTAAGGAAAAACCAGAGCTGTCTCAATACAGACCCACTAATATCACAGAAAGCTGAGGCCATAGCTCAAGAGAGCTTTGGTCAGCCTATAAAAGGATCCCGTTTGGGGACTGAAATCTCATTTTTTAAGCATCTGAAGCAAAGTTGGAAAAGATCTTCTTAAAGCTCTTTAGAGCTTCTTCGAGTCTGAGTTACTTGATAGGCCAAATGAAAACGGGCAATGTATCTTTGATATCATACGAACATTCACATCATTATTGTAAGTTAGCTGTTATGTTCTTACGAAACTGTAGCTGTAGCCCTGAGCTATCTAGCTTTCATAAATGGAAATTGCGGATTCATATTTTCCCATGATTTGTTATAAATATAATCCATCTACAGTATCAAAGAGGAATAGGTCATTTGTGGGTGGATGGGTAACAACTTTTTAAAAAATAAAATATGATGCTCAAAGACCATCCTCTTTCAATAGCATCATGAGAGTGGGTGAAATTTGCTTTGGGGGACTATTTTGTCTGCTGAGTTAGTTGATTCTTCAAAAAAAAAAAGATAACCCAGTCTGATGGTCTCTTTTTTAATTGTCTATTTGAAAATTTGGGGGAAATTTGTGAATTGGTAGATTGTAGAATTTTGATAGCATATTCTTTGTGTCCTGAGAAAGGGATTTGGGAAGTCATGTTATTCCCAGCTTACTCATTCTTGTACTTCTTTTTTCCTCTAGGAACTTGAACGAGAAATCACATTTCAAGGTGACAGTGCCATTTACTATTCATTTTACAAAGAACTGTTAAAAGCCTCCTCTTTTAAAAAAGGTAAGGCAAATACATTTGCTAAATAGTAACTTAACAGAAATCAAGACTACAATATGCACCATCTTCTTATTGCAAATGTTCAGGCTATATGGAAACTTGGGACAGATTGAAAGTTTATGTGACTCCAAATTTACGTATGTACTTCAGTTCAATCAGGGTTGACAAAGCTTTTATCTACCTATTTTATCTCTTCCCTAGGATCTCATTTGTAATCTTATTATTCCAGTTATTTATGAAAACCTAGCCCATGGATTAGGTTTAGACTAAAGAGAGATGTGACTCTAATCTGGATGATGATCTGAAGCTCATATGAATCACTATGAGGTGATACACATGAGCTCATAAAGGAAGAAAAGAAAAAGAAAAAAGTTCATAGACAATTAGGGAGACTTAAGATTTACTAAAAGCATTGAAATTTAAAAACGTAAGTTTTACTTATGAGATTTCCATATCCCTTTTCTCCAGGAGGTCAGCACAACCTACATAGCATTCCTGCCTCCAATTATAGTCAAACAACAACTCTACAAGGTAGCTGGGCTGATTCAAAAGCATCCAATACGTTTCCCATGGCTGATATTGATCTGACCCGTAGTCTCCCCGGTCCTAGTCCAGTATCCTAATCACTCTATCACATTGGCTCCCAGTAGAGTATATCTTTACATTGTACTACTTTCTGTAGTCTAGTGCCAGATCTGATATTGAACATTAAGTAAAGAGCTAGATTTCAGGGCAGACATAATTAAATTTGTCCCCTGGAGTGGTGGGCCTATGGATATAACTTTCTGTCAAATTGCCATGATCATGGGGTGCAGTCATCAAATTTTAATCTGGTTGGATACTTTCAGAAACAAGCAAGAATAAATTATTTCCAGATAATCAAATGTCTTTTATATTCTTCCTATTTTTATGAAATGGCATCTAGGAGCTTTCTATAGTGGATGATGATGATAATGATAATGATCAAGTAGCCTTTTCAGGGTAGCACAGGCAAATATGGTAGGAGCATAAGACAAACTTGTGGGACAGCTTATCTCCAATAGTTTCTGCCCATCTCAACAGATCTAACAGAGTGGGCATGCTTTGAGCTCCCTGTATGAAACCATGTTAGCTTATTTGATCTGTTGGAGCATCTCTCCAATCAAACATTGTTTTCTCCCGGGTCCTGATGGCCACGACCCTGTTGATTTTCCATTGGCTGTTCTATGCTGAGAGGTTCTTAAGAGTGTCCACAATGCCTCTGTACTATGCTGTTGGCTGCCTTATTTGTTGGTTGGTTGGTTGGTTTATTTAATATTATCATTGGTGTTAGCCAACTCGAGTCATTTGTTGAGATGACAAATTGGAGAGAGCCAGATATGTCTTTTAAATATAAATAAATAAATACTGTAATATGGACAACTGGGTTATTTGTTATATTGGATACAACTATTTGTATAATAATAGAAAAAAAATCTCCTTGCCTCTTTCATTGGCAGGCATTCATCAACTTATTCATGACAACAGGACCCTGTCACTAAAAACAATGAATACTGTACGACAGATGACTTTGTACCCGGAATTGATCGCCAGCGTTTTATATCAGGCATCCGGCAGTGAAGTATGTACCTTTTCCTTTTTATCATCTTGTGTGATGGAACCAGAAAGGTCCTCTGCCTAAAAGAAACAGGCTTGCTTTGTTTCAGACTATTATTTGAATGCCTGGAGGCCAGGTGAAAACAATATGAGCTATTAAGAGGCCACCTTACTTTGCTTAGAAAAAATGC